CCCCTCCCTGACCACCCAGGGCTCAGTTCCTCTCCTCCCCCTCCCCTCCCCCAATAGAAAGCTCCAAAGACGCCCCCTAATGGCCAGGAGGGCCCTTGCAGGAGTGAAATGTTTTCTGCACCCCAAATTGGCTCTAGCCCCCCTCACAGCCGACGCCGGGACTCCCAGGGCCCCGGCTCTCCTCCCCCAGGTGGCCTGGCCTACAGGAGCGCCCCTGGCCCCCTCCTCACCTTGGCCGTCTCCACCTCCATCTGCAGCCGGGCGTTCTCTGAGAGCAGGTCCCGGTTTCGAGTCTCCAGCTGCTGCAGCTGTGTCTCCAGCTCGGCTTCGTACTCGCGGCTGCCCTCTTGAAACTCCCGCAGCTCCTCCTGGGCGCTCTCCACGCTGAGGGCAAAGGGGGGCAGGAGCGGGTCACGCCGAGCAGCCTCAAGGCTGACCCCGGCCAAGGAACCGGGCAGGTGGCTGTGCCCCACTCCACCCCATGCTGGGTCCCCATGCCTGCCCACTGCCCAGGAGCTGCTGGGTGCCCGGGGAAGCCGGAGGGGGAAGCTTACCACTGCTTGTATTTGCCCGAGAGCTCCTTCCAGTAGCTGATCTCGTCCTCTGCGGAATGGAAGGGGCTCCTTTCAGGGTCTGTCATGGTAGAAGCCGCCTGGCATGATCCTCCTGCGAATGGGGGAGAGCAGGCCGGTTGCAGAGCCCACCAGGACCAGCCAGCCACGCAGGAGAACATCCCTGCCAGCCTTCTGGTCTCTTTTTAAATAAAGATGCGCTTTTAAAGAGAGATAGACGCACTTTGTGGCAAGAGGGCCAGAGGGAAGAAGAAGCATTTGGGCTTGTGGTTGGTTGGTCCGAGAGATCATCATCCGGCTGAATTAAAAAAGGCATTTAATAAGTTTCTCTCTGCTCCTCCAGTGGATCTGCGTGTGGCTTGCTGGGCCAAAGGAAGAGGCTCAACCGCATGGAGTGGTGGCAGCAACAGGGGGGAGCCCCTCGGCCGGGCGGGCAGGAGGCCCCATGGGGCAAGCCAGGCGAGAGCTGGGCCAGGCGCAGACTGCCTCCGGCTGCTTCCCTCGCGNAAATTCACTGGAAGAGCCTGGCTGTTAAACAGGAAGTGGCTTTTCCAGGCTGGAGCCTCGGCTGGCTGCCAGCAGTTCCTGATGCAACGCCCCGCTCTGGGTTCCCGTGAAAAACCCTCGGCTGGTTCTTTGGAACCGGCGCTCCTTCACCTGGTCCGGCAGCAGCCAATGCGGCCCCGGATCGCCTCCCCACCCCTCCCGACCTCCGAGCCCAGGACATCTTGTGCCGCTCCGGCTGCCAAGTCATTCTTGTCCCTGGGGGGCGGGGTGGAAAGGGAAAGGAAAAGTCGCCCAGCGGGACAGCTGACAGCCGGCCTGTTTTCTGAGAAGTGGGTCGGCAGAGGAGAAACCGGCGGGGCTTCGAGTAAACAGAGGCCTCTCTGGAAGGCTCCGCGGCTGCAGAGGCTGCTGGGGGCGAGGGGAGGCGATAGGCGACGCTTCAGGCCACTTTGGGACCCCCCCCCTCAGCCTGCCCGCCTCCGTTTGCCCAGCCTCCCGTTGCCCCCTTTCCATTGAGCTGCCCCCGTCCACCGCCAGCATTCGGGGGCCGCCCCCTGCCCTTCCACAGCCCCCCCCGCCTTCGCCCATTCCTAGAGTGGGGCCGAGGGAAGCCAAGAGGTCGCGCAAGGCGAGCCTGCCCCGCGTTGCCATCTGCTGCCAGTTGCGATTTCCCAGCCCACGGTGGCCCCGGGGTGGGTGGGATGGGGGGGTCGCAGTTCTGCTCCAGGGTCCCATCGGCCCTTCCAGAGCCTCCTCCGGGCACGAGGACTGCGGGGCCCAGGAGGGCGGCACTGGGGGTCCCCGTTCCGCCTGAGCGGCAGGGCCGACTGTGCCGGCAGAGGAGAGGGGCAGCCCGCCAGGAGCCCCCTCCCCAGCCCCCTCCCCGCCGCTCCGGCCCAGCCGCTCGCTTTCCCTTTCTTTTCCCCGCAAGCGCTCGCCTTTCCCGGAGTCGCCACGACTCCGCAGCCGCCCAGCCCCTCCCCCCGCCCAAGAGGGAAAGCGAAAGTGGGGGGCGGGGCGGGGGCGGGGCCTAAGCTCCTCAAAAGCCCCCGCCGAGGGCCGGTCCAGCAGACGGGCGGTGGGCGCCGCGCCGAGAGCAGCTCCGCAGCAGCCCCAAAGCAGCACCAGCGGCCGGTCCCGGCGCGGACGATGCGGCTGCGGCGACCGCGGCGCCCCGACCAAGCAGCGCGCAAAGGCAGCGGGGCCCAGCCTTGGCGAGCCGCGGCCGCCGGGAGTCCTTTTCGCCGGAGAGCTGCGGCGGCGGCGGCGGCGAAGAGAAGGCGGCGGCGGCGGCGGCGA